GACTGAGTGGCGAATGTGAAGGCATTGGCGGAGGAAGTGGTGAGTGTGGGAACCGATCCGAAGTTGAATTGAGTGGACATTATTTGGCCGACGATTCAAACGACAAGTGTTTGCTTTGGCTTTCAGTCCTTCAATGCAATGCTTTTCACACAAACCGTGAGTTTGTATTCATTTCGTAATATTAGCGCCAATTTTGAACATTCACTCAATTCTTGGCTTTTCATAGTTTGTACACAATTTGTGTATTTCTTTGGATATGGGATTCAATAATACATGTCTTTTACTATTCATTTAATTTAATTTTGCATTTAATTGAGTCAACAGTTTGAATGTGTGTTTAAGTGAATCCAAAACACGTGAAAACCGGTGAATACAATAGTATTGAACTGAAGACCCCTTACGGGAAAACATGTGAATCAGATGTTTATGTTTGCAAAGTTTGATAAGAATTTGTGATTCATTTAATTGAACTACAATTTAGTGAACATAACTCATGTGACCCTATATTTGGACACTATGTCTGGTGTGAACGCATTGCCACCCATTGCCACACATTCAGTGAGTATTGCATTGAAATCATTGTAATTCTCGTCATATATTTAAAAACAATTTGTAATAATTGTTATCAAAATAGAGATAAGAATTTGTTTTCATTCAAAGTGTTGACAATTGTTTTCAATTGCTATTTGTTTTTCAATTACTTTGTTTCCGTATAGACATTGAACGCTATGATACAGTAATAGTCAACAATTTATTATGATTAACATATTGTTATGTCTAACCATGGTCACATTGTCATTGATAAGGCAATAATATTATTGTACATGAATACACTGGAATATACTAGCACCATTATGATAACAATAATTCGAAATTCATATTAAAGCATTAAGCATTTATTTAGCAATAAGCATGGTAATTACAGGCTTCCTGAAAATGCCATGGTACATTGCGAAACATACAATTTGATTATAACAATTCATTCAATCTATTTATATACATTACTTATAATATTTATATAATCTTAATACACTGTACAGTATATCAACTTTTCATATTCTGTTATTAATAAATTCTCTCTCTCTCTCTCTCTCTCTCTCTCTTTCTCTCTCTCTCTCTACCGTATCTCTGAAAACAGCTCAGGAATGGCAATATTTAATAGCTTACAGTTAGNTCTCTCTCTCTCTCTCTCTCTCTCTCTCTCTCTCAAATGAGGCCACACATTAAATAAATTATATTGAAGTGAGTGGTAATCTATGACAGAATCATAGTATTATGTGTCCCACAAATATTATTAAATAATATCATGTTATGTCTAACTGTAAGCTATTAAATATTGCCATTCCTGAGCTGTTTTCAGAGATACGGTAGAGAGAGAGAGAGAAAGAGAGAGAGAGAGAGAGAGAGTCGGGAAATATTTTGTTTTGAAAGCTTGAAAGATAAGAATCTATTTCTCGAGTCAAATGACAAATTCATAACAAGTTATGCAAATGAATGACATCACAGTTTAGTACATATAATACAAATGTTTGCCAATAGTGTACGGATACTGTGTTTAAAATTGAAAACTTAAATTCCCATTTAATCGGAAATCACTTGACTCTTTGCACTCAAATTCTTGTCTCAAATACTTTTTATAAGTTAAACAATAAATGTATTGAACATAAAAAACATTCATTTCTAATGTTTGTATTTATATTAGATTTGATAAAAGAGTTTCATTAGTCTCTTATCACACGAAATGATTCCTCAATTCTGTGGCTGTTATTGAAGGACATGTATATCGTCTCCAATAGATTTCATTCATTATATAAATTGCATAAACTCTGCAAAACTCACAGCATTTCTAACTTCACTTCAATTATGAGTTCCTGTGTTTCTCTTGATTTTCTGAATGTGAAACAAGACTTCAAGTCATGGACTCGACAGCACTCGCACTCTGTCTCTGAAGGAGTTGCCACTCATTCACACAATGAAAACGAAGTAATTCTTGTATTTGACGATATTTACCGCAAATTAATTAATCGTTCATTTGTTTGAAACGCGAAAGTGTTATGATTTTAGTTATAAGGAAGCGATTAAAGCGTTGAATGGATTGCAAACAAATGCTGAGAACATTGCGAACGCTATTAAGAGAGAGAAAGGAAGCAATTCATGCCATTCGTTGGATAAAACCGTTTATTTTCTATCGCTTTTAGACATTAAGCCTTCAGATCTCAATAAATTGAATGTAATTCATGTGTCGGGAACTAAGGGGAAGGGATCGACCTGTGCTTTCGCTGAAAGTATTTTGCGCCGATTTGGGTATAAGACGGGATTCTGTTCATCACCTCATTTGGTGGTCGTTAGGGACAGGATCCGCATAAATGGCGAACCGCTCACCAAAAAACAGTTCGCTCACTATTTTTGGTCCGTTTATAAGGCCATAGAAAAACGTAAGGACCCATCGGTAGGAATGCCCCCGTATTTCAATTTCCTTACTGTTATGGCGTTTGAGGTGTTCCTCAAAGAGAAAGTCGACGCAACTGTCCTCGAAGTGGGCATTGGAGGCCAATATGACTGCACTAATGTGGTGCCCAAACCTATAGTGACCGGGGTCAGCTCATTGGGTCTGGATCACTGTGCACTTCTCGGCAATACTATTGAACAGATTGCGTGGCAAAAGGCCGGCATTTTTAAGCCATCGGTTCCAGCCTTTACTGTCGAACAGTGCGAACCAGCGATGAAAGTGTTGAAGAGTAGGGCTCAGGAACTGATGTCTTCGTCATTTCATGTCTGCCCTCTACTATCACTTTATCCCCATTCGGTTCCCATTGAACTCGGAATCAAAGGTAAAACACTTGTTATTAAGATATACACTTCCGTTCGTATGATTTGTTTTGTTAATATCTGTTTGTTTGGTATTAATATTCTGTCTAATTATTGTGTAGATTCTGTGATAAATATGTGTAGAGATATGAATGTTTTATCAATTTGTTTGAAATCAGTTATGAGAGGTTTCTTTGAAAATGCTTTGTAGGAGACGTTCAGAAAGTGAATGCATCGCTTGCCCTGCAATTGACGAACTTATGGCTCAACAAAATGAATAATAATAATAAATGTCAGATCTCTTCGCTCATCACAAAAGACGGCACTTTTTCAGACGTATTCCCTCTCAATATAAACCATATAAACGGACTCTCGAAGACCTGTTGGCCGGGAAGGTGTCAAATATTGCGCAAAAACAACTTAATATACTTCTTAGACGGCGCCCACACTTACGAATCGTTGTCCAACTGCTCGAAATGGTTTTGCTCGGAATCGCCAAAACTGTTGACTTCCAACCGATTGGTTCGGGTTTTGCTATTCAACTGTACGGGCAATCGGCCGACTGAGGCACTCATGCGAGCCCTGGACGTGAAGTTTGATATCGCGATCTTCTGTCCCAATAGAGTGGACAACAAAAAGTCCGACACTTCTGATAACACAAACTTTATGGTCACCGCACAAAAGGAAGCAGACATTTGTGCTAATAATGCCAAAATTTGGTCCAAACTCAATGATAAGGCTATTATAACTAAACAGTCGTGTATTTCTGATGCTATCAAATACATTAACGACAAAACTCAGAAAGAAAAGGCACTTCCCGTCCACGTATTGGTCACCGGAAGTGTTCATCTCGTAGGAAGTGTTCTCTCACTGATAGACCCGGATATGAATTCATTGTGCAATTGATTTGCATGAATGTGCATATATTGCGGCAAACATTGCTGTTTGCAAATGTTAGCAAATTTTGCTCAATAATGATATTTTTTATGAATTATATTTTATATCTTCAAATTGGGGCCAAATATGAAATATTTTCTATTTTGTTAAGATTTTATAGAATATATTTTCAATAAATGATTTTTATTTCAAATTTCATAGATCTTAAAAATTTATTAAAAACTATACAAACATTTGTAATAAGTTATTGCAAACATAATTTGGTTAAAATCACAATAAATATAAAGATGAATGATTGGTGAATGTATGCTATACCATATGATCCTGGTAAACTTGATTCCGTTTCTCTCTACTAATAGCTCTCCTCTTAAATAGCTTTCGCACTTCTGAGACAATAAAAACGGTAGAAGTGATGCAAAACAAGAATAGCAGATCTCCCACAGATAGGGCTTCCGTCACAAAGATCTTCTGTAATTGAGGCAAATATATAACAAGCATTTGACAGATTAGGGAACCCGTCACTGATATAACAAATGGTTTGTTCGTCAAGAGTCCGATTGTGAACACAGACTTCACCTGAAATTAGTGTTTGAATTAGTTTCGCATTCATGTAATTGTGAGTAAGTAGTGTTATTGAGACAATACCTGTGACCGACAACTCAATGCATTAAACATATCGAAAAATACAAAACAAGTGAACGTCATCGTAGTGTCTCTCGGAGTCACTATTTTGTCGCTCATCTAAAAATCAATCAATCATTTAGTCTTAAGGCTAGCATTTATTGTGTTTAATACTTCATTAATGAATACGAATAGCGTTCCGGTGATGATAATTGAGGACGAAATCAATACACTAGTTATCAATTCTCTTGTAATCATAGGCTCTTTGACATTACGAGGCGGTTGGATAAGTATGTCGTGATCTACCGGTTCCACACCCAGACTTTGAGCGGGCGGGCCGTCCATTATTATATTTATCCACAAGATTTGCATTGCGTTTAATGGGTTCGGGATATGCATGAGTGTGGAGAAGGCTATCAATGAGAGCGCAGCTATGCTTCTAATGATACAGAATATCAAATGATTCAGAGAAATAGGTTAACAATATTGCTGTGTTTGATGGCATACGTGGACAGTTGAAAGCGAACAAAGTTGCGAATGTTATGGAAAATGCCTTTCCCTTCTTCTATGGCAGCCCTGATTGTCGGCAGAAATTAATTAACTCAAAACTAAACCATCGATTGCTTACATTATAGTGAAGAAGTCGTCGTCAATGAGTATCATATCTGCGGCTTCTTTGCAGACATCGGTCCCGATCTTTCCCATCGCTATTCCAATGTCTGCTTTCTTAAGAGCGACGCCATCGTTGACACCATCACCGGTCATACCGACGACAGCGCCGTTCTTTTGTAAGGCCTTAACGATCCTTAGTTTGTGTGCCGGACCCACACGATAGAAGACACTGACTGACGGTATTCTCATTGCAAACGAGTGGTCATCCAAAGCGTCGATCTCTTGTCCAGAAATAACTGCATTTCCGGTCGCATAAAATCCAAGTCTTGTCGCTATGGCACAGGCGGTGTCCATTGCATCGCCGGTTAACATCTTAACGCTGACTCCACTGGCCTGAAGAGTGCGAATGGATTCCCTAACTCCAGGTCGCGGCGGATCCAAAATGCCAACCATTCCCACGAAAGAAAGGTCGTCCAATTTGGTCCCATAAGCAAAGGCCAGAACTGACAATCATTTTAATCATCAAATATTGAAACAAAAGTCCACAACTAATACAAATACAGTACCTCTCAATCCCTTTCGACCCAAGTATTGAGATTCACTAATGAATTGTTTGTGTCGGTCCGCATCCAAAGGCCTAATCACATCATTACTGCAATATTTGGTGCAGAGGGACAACACCTTCTCGAGAGCGCCCTTCACGTAGAACTTCTCCTCATCTTTTGGTCCAAATTTGGGAATACACTTAAAATAAAATGTATAAAATTAGCATTAAATACTGTATATATACCGTATATATACCGTAAGTTGTGGAAATAGTATTCATTTATTAATAAATACATTATTTTAATAATCAAATAACACTTACCTTAACGGCCATTAGTTTTTGTTCAGAAGAAAACGGAAACTCTTGTAATCGCAGATATTTATCTTTAATGCCAAACATATCCAACTTCTGAGCGGCGGCTATAAGAGCGCCTTCAGTTGGTTGACCTCTCAGTTGTCCACCGGTTATGTCGGCGTTATTGCAAATGCAGCCGATCTCTAGTAACCTCTTCATTGAATCCATTTGTTTCTTATAAGAGTCGATGTCTTCGCTGAGAATGATTTCTCCGCTTCCATTATATCCGACTCCACTCACGTCTGCCCTATAGAGCTCGGACGTGACCATTGCTGTGACAGTCATCTCATTCTTAGTGAGAGTTCCCGTTTTGTCCGAACAAATAGTGTCAACACATCCTAACGTCTCAACTGTTGGCAAACGCTTGATAATAGCCTTTCTCTTAGCCATTCGCATGACACCCAATGCCAGCGTAACTGTTACTACAATGGGTAGGCCCTCGGGTATGGCGGCCACCGCTAGACTGACGCCAATGTTAAACATCTCGAGAACAGGTCTGCCCTGAATCCAACCCAATGTCATAATCATCCCAATGATTCCGAACGAATAAAACGATAGCTGAGTGCCCAATGAGTCCATACTTTTCTGAAGGGGTGTTTTGGGCGCCTCCTCCGACTGCATCATTTTGAATATCTCCCCGAACTCGGAGTTGACACCCGTATTGACCACAATTCCCCGGCCGTTCCCACACCTCACTAAAGTACCCATAAATGCTATGTTAAGTCTATCGGACACTGAATTAGTTTTGGTATTTATGGGATAAGTAGTCTTAAGCGACGGTTCCGTTTCACCGGTAAAACTGCTCTCATCTATCGAGAGATCGACCGCTTCGAAGAGTCTTAGATCTGCGGGAACTCTATCGCCGGTCGTTAACAGAACTATATCTCCGGGAACCAGAAGGCGAGCGAATAGTGTCTCCGCTTGTCCTCCGCGAAGACAATTACAAACGGGAGGAACCAATTTGTTGAGCTCTTCCAGTGACTTCTCAGACCTGTACTCCTGAACGAACGCAACGGTCACTACAATAATGATTGCCTTCAAAGTACAGACAATACTATTAAGGTTTGCAACAAATGACAGATCAATGGATACTAATCACAGATCAATGGATACTAACGGCAGTAATACTGAAGGCGTCATCGATTTGTTGCATACAAACGCTGACCAGAGCTGAGGCCAGAAGTAATATAATTAACGGGTTTTTGAACTATAAATACAGCAAACAATCAGTTAATCACTCGATGGTCTCCACATGTAATCAATGGATGCAAT